TGACGTCTGTGTGACAGAAGTGACGTCTGAGTGACAGAAGCGACGTCTGTGTGACAGAAGTGACGTCTGAGTGACAGAAGTGACGTCTGTGTGACAGAAGTGACGTCTGTGACAGAAGCGACGTCTGTGTGACAGAAGTGATGTCTGTGACAGAAGTGACGTCTGTGTGTGACAGAAGTGACGTCTGTGTGACAGAAGTGACGTCTGTGTGTGACAGAAGTGACGTCTGTGTGACAGAAGTGACGTCTGTGTGTGACAGAAGTGACGTCTGTGTGACAGAAGCGACATCTGTGTGACAGAAGTGACGTCTGTGACAGAAGTGACGTCTGTGTGTGACAGAAGTGACGTCTGTGTGACAGAAGTGACGTCTGTGTGTGACAGAAGTGACGTCTGTGACAGAAGTGACGTCTGTGTGACAGAAGTGACGTCTGTGTGTGACAGAAGTGACGTTTGTGACAGAAGTGACGTCTGTGTGACAGAAGTGACGTCTGTGACAGAAGTGACGTCTGTGTGACAGAAGCGACGTCTGTGTGTGACAGAAGTGACGTCTGTGTGTGACAGAAGTGACGTCTGAGTGACAGAAGTGACGTCTGTGTGACAGAAGTGACGTCTGTGTGACAGAAGCGACGTCTGTGTGACAGAAGTGACGTCTGAGTGACAGAAGCGACGTCTGTGTGACAGAAGTGACGTCTGAGTGACAGAAGCGACGTCTGTGTGACAGAAGTGATGTCTGTGACAGAAGTGACGTCTGTGTGACAGAAGTGACGTCTGTATGTGACAGAAGTGACGTCTGAGTGACAGAAGTGACGTCTGTGACAGAAGTGACGTCTGTGTGACAGAAGCGACGTCTGTGTGACAGAAGTGACGTCTGAGTGACAGAAGCGACGTCTGTGTGACAGAAGTGACGTCTGAGTGACAGAAGTGACGTCTGTGACAGAAGTGACGTCTGTGTGACAGAAGTGACGTCTGTGTGTGACAGAAGTGACGTCTGTGTGACAGAAGCGACGTCTGTGTGACAGAAGTGACGTCTGTGTGTGACAGAAGTGACGTCTGAGTGACAGAAGTGACGTCTGTGTGACAGAAGTGACGTCTGAGTGTGACAGAAGTGATGTCTGTGACAGAAGTGACGTCTGTGTGTGACAGAAGTGACGTCTGTGTGTGACAGAAGCGACGTCTGTATGTGACAGAAGTGACGTCTGTGTGACAGAAGTGACGTCTGTGTGTAGCAGTAGTGAAGTCTGTGATATGGCAGGAGGAAGGTTTTGCCTGTTTCTCAGCTTCTGTCTGCCTCGATGCTTTGTCTGCCTGTGTCTTTGGTGGACAGCACGGTGTCCGCCTGTGTTTGTGATGGGCAACACTCTGTCTGCTTGTGTCTTTGGTGGACAGCACTGTGTCCGATTGTGCTTTTGGTGGACAGCACTGTGTTCAACTGTGTCTTTGGTGGACAGCACTGTGTCTGCCTGTCTTTGGTAGACAGCACTGTGTTTGCCTGTGTCTGTGGTGGACAGCACTCTGTCTGCTTGTGTCTTTGGTGGACAGCACTCTGTCTGCTTGTGTCTTTGGTAGACAGCACTGTGTCCGACTGTATCTTTGGTGGACAGCACTCTGCTTGTGTCTTTGGTAGACAGCACTGTGTCCGACTGTGTCTTTGGTAGACAGCACTGTGTCCGACTGTGTCTTTGGTAGACAGCACTGTGTCCGACTGTGTCTTCGGTGGACAGCACTCTGTCTGCTTGTGTCTTTGGTAGACAGCACTGTGTCCGACTGTGTCTTGGGTAGATAGCACTGTGTCCGACTGTGTCTTTGGTAGACAGCACTGTGTCCAACTGTGTCTTTGGTGGACAGCACTCTGTCTGCTTGTGTCTTTGGTAGACAGCACTGTGTCCGACTGTGTCTTTGGTAGACAGCACTGTGTCCGCCTGTGTCTGTGGTGGACAGCACTCTGTCAGCTTGTGTTTGTGGTAGACAGCACTGTGTCCGACCGTGTCTTTGATAGACAGCACTGTGTCCGACTGTGTCTTTGGTGGACAGCACTCTGTCTGCTTGTGTCTTTGGTAGACAGCACTGTGTCCAACTGTGTCTTTGGTAGACAGCACTGTGTCCAACTGTGTCTTTGGTAGACAGCACTGTTTCCGACCGTGTCTTTGGTAGACAGCACTGTGTCCGACTGTCTTTGGTGGACAGCACTCTGTCTGCTTGTGTCTTTGGTAGACAGCACTGTGTCCAACTGTGTCTTTGGTGGACAGCACTCTATCTGCTTGTGTCTGGTAGACAGCACTGTGTCCGACTGTCTTTGGTAGACAGCACTGTGTCCAACTGTGTCTTTGGTGGACAGCACTCTATCTGCTTGTGTCTGGTAGACAGCACTGTGTCCGACTGTCTTTGGTAGACAGCACTGTGTCCAACTGTGTCTTTGGTAGACAGTACTATATCTGCTTGTGTCTTTGGTAGATAGCACTGTGTCCGACTGTGTCTTTGGTAGACAGCACTGTGTCCAACTGTGTCTTTGGTGGACAACACTGTGTCCAACTGTCTTTGGTAGACAGCACTGTGTCCGACTGTGTCTTTGGTAGACAGCACTGTGTCTGCCTGTGTCTTTGGTGGACAGCACTCTGTCTGCTTGTGTCTTTGGTAGACAGCACTGTGTCCGACTGTGTCTTTGGTAGACAGCACTGTGTCTGACTGTGTCTGGTGGAAAGCACTGTGTCCGACTGTGTCTTTGGTGGAAAGCACTGTGTCTACCTGTGTCTTTGGTGGACAGCACTCTGTCAGCTTGTGTCTGTGGTAGACAGCACTGTGTCTGACTGTGTCTTTGGTGGAAAGCACTGTGTCCGACTGTGTCTTTGGTGGAAAGCACTGTGTCTGCCTGTGTCTGTGGTGGACAGCACTCTTTCTGCCTGTGTGTTGGTGGACAGCACTGTGTCTACCTCTGTCGGTGGTGGACAGCGCACTGGGCCCTGCAGGTCCTAGCTGCTCACAGTGATGAAGATGTCCCATGGAATCCTGGAGACACCACTGCTGCTTGTCCAAAGCTGTCCTCCAAGAATCTACTTGACAACCAGTGATTCACCCCAGGGCAGTTGTTCTTGGCCCCGGGAGGAGCATTGGGTCCTGGACTGGAGCTGGGGGAGCAGATCCAGGGACATCTGGGCTGGGCCTCTGCTACTGCAGTGACCTCAGGCCCACGCACCTTGCACCCTCACCGCAGGGACCAGAAGCTTCCTGTCACCGAGCCCTGGAGGCTTCTAGGAATGAAGGTCATGTTCACTGTCACACACCACTGTCCAGAGGGACAGACCTGAGGCCAGTCCCTGTCCTCAGATACCCTCCGTGTGGCGGCCTGGGGCCTCCAGGAAAGTCTGGGTGTCCGCTGGCAGAGCAGGGCCCAAGAGCGCCTGCCCGTGTCCCTCTCCCCCTCACAGTAAAAACTTCCTTGGAGTATGAGTGATGTTGTCTGTGTGCAAAGAGGAGATCAATGTTATTAAATAAATTCATGTGGCGGTCTGAGCGAGTGGTAATTCCACAGCCCTCTTCAATATGTTCATGGCTCTCGAAGAGGGTGCCAATTAGTCCCTGTAAATCTGCAGGCTGGACGCTCTTAGGGGATAATGAAGTGGAGTGTCAGATTCTAGGTCGCGGAACCAGAATTTATGAGAGCCACACACATCCCTGGAGCAGCTGCTCAGAGCCGGCCCCCTGTCCACTTCCCTGACTGGGGCCTCAGAGCCGGCCCCCTGTCTGCTGTCCACTGCCTGGGACCTCAGAGCCGGCCCCCTGTCCACTGCCCTGACCGGGACCTCAGAGCCGGCCCCCTGTCCACTGCCTGGGGCCTCAGAGCCGGCTCCCTGTCCACTGCCCTGACCGGGGCCTCAGAGCCGGCCCCCTGTCCACTGCCCTGACCGGGGCCTCAGAGCCGGCCCCCTGTCCACTGCCCTGACTGGGGCCTCAGAGCTGGCCCCCTGTCTGCTGTCCACTGCCTGGGGCCTCAGAGCCGGCCCCCTGTCCACTGCCCTGACTGGGGGCTCAGAGCCAGCCCCCTGTCCACTGCCTGGGGCCTCAGAGCCGGCCCCCTGTCCACTGTCCACTGCCTGGGGCCTCAGAGCCGGCCCCCTGTCCACTGCCCTGACCGGGGCCTCAGAGCCGGCCCCCTGTCCACTGCCCTGACCGGGGCCTCAGAGCCGGCCCCCTGTCCACTGCCTGGGGTCTCAGAACCGGCCCCCTGTCCACTGCCCTGACCGGGGCCTCACAGCCGGCCCCCTGTCCACTGCCCTGACCGGGGCCTCAGAGCCGGCCCCCTGTCCACTGTCCACTGCCTGGGGCCTCAGAGCCGGCCCCCTGTCCACTGTCCACTGCCTGGGGCCTCAAAGCCGGCCCCCTGTCTGCTGTCCACTGCCTGGGGCCTCAGAGCTGGCCCCCTGTCCACTGCCCTGACCGGGGCCTCAGAGCTGGCCCCCTATCCACTGCCCTGACCGGGGCCTCAGAGCCGGCCCCCTGTCCACTGTCCACTGTCTGGGGCCTCAGAGCCGGCCCCCTGTCCGCTGTCCACTGTCTGGGGCCTCAGAGCCGGCCCCCTGTTCACTGCCCTGACCGGGGCCTCAGAGCCGGCCCCCTGTCCACTGTCCACTGCCTGGGGCCTCAGAGCCGGCCCCCTGTCCACTGTCCACTGCCTCAGAGCCGGCCCCCTGTCCACTGTCCACTGCCTCAGAGCCGGCCCCCTGTCCACTGTCCACTGCCTGGGGCCTCAGAGCCGGCCCCCTGTCCACTGCCTGGGGCCTCAGAGCTGGCCCCCTGTCCATTGTCCACTGCCTGGGGCCTCAGAGCCGGCCCCCTGTCCACTGTCGGGACGGGGGCCTCCCTTGCCGCCTCAGGCTGCTCTGTGGGGCCATGCTCCCAGTAGTGAGTAGCTGATTGGATGGGGTGTAGTGATGAGGTTATTCATGTCCTGATTGGATGGGGCGTAGTGATGAGGTTATTCATGTCATCCTTCTGGTCTCTTCCAGCCAAGAAGTATAAGAAAGTCACTGGCAAGGAGATCTACTCAGATACCCTGGAGAGCACGCCGATGCTTGAGAAGGAGAAGTTCCCACAGGACTACTTCCCCGAGGTGCGGAGTTCAGGGGGGCTGTGACCCACTGTTTGATACCCAAAGTGCATAGGGCTGTGGAGCACTGTTCCTGGGGCGGCTGTGCTCCAAGGCCTCTACCCCAGAAGTTCCAAACCTTGTCTTCCCGTGGGCTGATCTGGGCAGCCCTACAAACCTTATGTCAGGTAGCCAATCCTCAGATCCCTTCTTCCATCCAAGGGAGCCTTCCCAGAGGTCACAGGCCGATGTCTTCCCGCTCTCCTGGAGCTGGAGAGGGCAGCCAGCTGCCCATGCAGCACTGTGTGCACTCCTTTTCACTTGGTGTGGAGGGCTGCTGTCTCCACACGGCTCTTGTGTGCGACTGAATTCAGATGCCTTCATAGCCACCCACCGGGGAGCCTCTTTAGCCTGTATGATCTTGCTGGTGCTCACACCCATCAGCTAAAAATCACAGAAGCATTTCCAGCACTGAAGGGGAGGAACTGAGCAACATCTGTTCGTGCATGCTCTGCCCGTACCATCATGTAGGGACTGCATCTAGGCTCATTGGCATGCTATCCCCCAAGAAGGATTGCTTTTGGCTCCCTCTCCACCCGGGGCCTGCATAGCCCAGTGCAGGGCTTGTTCAGAGCTGATTCTCAGCAAGGCCACCAGGTTATTAACTTGCTTTATAACCCGCACTTGGAGTACGGGCTTATGGCTGTCTGCATGAAGGATGGGTGCACTTGTCACCTGTGGCCCGGCTTCCTCATCTGTCATCCCCAGGCCAAGGACATGGTGTAAGCAGGCTGGCCTTCTGTCCCCAGCCAACTCAGGCCTACACTGTGGTCTCCTCTTCTGCCAGGTTGGAAAGTTCCAGAGCTTTTGTACAGCCACAGCCCATGTGTCATGAAAACCCTATGTGGCAGGCTCTATGGAAGGACCCTGGGGGCAGCAAAGTCCTTAAGAATCTATGGGCCAAGAAGCTGGGTTCAGAGCCTGTTTGTGACCTGTCCACTGCAGACTGGCCCTAGCTCCTGGGAGGCCTCTTCAGGACTGGCACCCCAGCTCCTGTCTCAGAGTAACCACAGCAGGCTTAGCCTGAGTAGGAACGACGGTGCTTGGAGAGGTGCCAAGCATGACCAAGAAGCCAGGGCTGGCTAGCAGCTGCCCTCTTCATAGTTTTGAGATACTCCTTGCAGGACAGGTCCCCAGTCCACAGGGGTGGACTGAAGGAGGCAGTGCTGGACATGGTCATAAGCAGGGGTATGTGTGACGTTTCCAGGGTAAGATAGTGTTTGATTCCCAAGCAAGTCTAGTATCCTTCTTTGCAACTTTCTCCTTTATTGTGTGTGTGCCAGTACTGGGGCTTGAACTCAGGGCCCCACATTCTAGCTTGGCTTTTTCTCTCAGTCTGGCATGCTGCCACTTGAGCCATATCTCCGCTCTGGCTTTTTACTAGTTACTTGGAAATAAGAGTCTCATGGACTTTTCTCCTCAGGTTGGCTTCAAACATCAGTCCTCAGATCTCAACCTCCTGAGTAGCTAGGATTACAGGGTGTGCCAGTAGTACTGAGCACAGGATTTTCCTTCAAATACCCTTCAGCCTATCTCCAATGCTGAGAAGAGTGTGATGAATCAAAAATAGATACCGTGGCCCCATCCAGATTGAGAACAACCACAGCTGGGCACACAACCTGCACTCCTCAGTGGGGTCTTCTCCTGAGTCACCGCAGGCCACGCTCCTGTCCTTCCTGACACCTTCCTCAGTGGGGTCTTCTCCTGAGGACAGCAGCTGCCATCTACTTGAGAACCTTGTATGTATCTGTGCAGTGCGTGGATGGGCCTGTAATCATGTGCTTACAGTTCCCATGAGTAGGCTGGGAATGACGGTTTGTGCTGTAATCCCAGTCACTGGGGAGATGGAGATTAAGATGATTGTAGTTTGAGGCCAGCCTGTGCACAAAGTTAGCAAGACCCCCAGCCACTTGTGGTGGTATACCACTCCCCCAGTGGAGGGGTAGTTAGGGGGATCATCAGGGGGCTGCCAGGGCATAAAAGCAGGAGACCCGGTCTGAAAAATAACTGAAGCAAAAAGGGCAGGGCATGTGGCCTAAGTGGTAGAACACCTGTCTAGCAAGCGCACAGTTCTGAGTCTAAACGTCAGTACTACTGCGTTACACAGTTCATACACTGTTCCATAGGCTGTCTCCGTGGTTGTTTTTCACTTCCTGGGCTTAGTAGGTAGCCTCCATCCACGGGCCCCTCCATGGCCTCCATCCACAGTAGCCCCTCCATGGCCTCCATCCACAGCAGCCCCTCCATGGCCTCCATCCACAGCAGCCCCTCCATGGCCTCCATCCACAGTAGCCCCTCCATGGCCTCCATCCACAGTAGTCCCTCCATGGCCTCCATCCACAGCAGCCCCTCCATGGCCTCCATCCACGGGCCCCTCCGTGGCCTCCATCCACAGTAGCCCCTCCATGGCCTCCATCCACAGTAGTCCCTCCATGGCCTCCATCCACAGTAGTCCCTCCATGGCCTCCATCCACAGTAGCCCCTCCATGACCTCCATCCACAGCAGCCCCTCCATGGCCTCCATCCACAGTAGTCCCTCCATGGCCTCCATCCACAGTAGCCCCTCCATGGCCTCCATCCACAGTAGCCCCTCCATGGCCTCCATCCACAGTAGCCCCTCCGTGGCCTCCATCCACAGTAGTCCCTCCGTGGCCTCCATCCACAGCAGCCCCTCCATAGCCTCCATCCACAGTAGCCCCTCCATGGCCTCCATCCACAGCAGCCCCTCCATGGCCTCCATCCACAGCAGCCCCTCTATGGCCTCCATCCACGGGCCCCTCCGTGGCCTCCATCCACAGCAGCCCCTCTATGGCCTCCATCCACGGGCCCCTACATGGCCTCCATCCACAGCAGCCCCTCTATGGCCTCCATCCACAGTAGTCCCTCCTTGGCCTCCATCCACAGTAGCCCCTCCATGGCCTCCATCCACGGGCCCCTCCGTGGCCTCCATCCACAGTAGTCCCTCCATGGCCTCCATCCACAGCAGCCCCTCCATGGCCTCCATCCACAGTAGCCCCTCCATGGCCTCCATCCACAGTAGTCCCTCCATGGCCTCCATCCACAGTAGTCCCTCCATGGCCTCCATCCACAGTAGCCCCTCCATGACCTCCATCCACAGCAGCCCCTCCATGGCCTCCATCCACAGTAGTCCCTCCATGGCCTCCATCCACGGGCCCCTCCATGGCCTCTATCCACAGTAGCCCCTCCGTGGCCTCCATCCACAGTAGTCCCTCCGTGGCCTCCATCCACAGCAGCCCCTCCATAGCCTCCATCCACAGCAGCCCCTCCATAGCCTCCATCCACAGTAGCCCCTCCATGGCCTCCATCCACAGTAGCCCCTCCATAGCCTCCATCCACAGTAGCCCCTCCATGGCCTCCATCCACAGCAGCCCCTCCATGGCCTCCATCCACAGTAGTCCCTCCATGGCCTCCATCCACGGGCCCCTCCGTGGCCTCCATCCACAGTAGCCCCTCCATGGCCTCCATCCACGGGCCCCTCTGTGGCCTCCATCCACAGTAGTCCCTCCATAGCCTCCATCCACAGTAGCCCCTCCATAGCCTCCATCCACAGTAGCCCCTCTGTGGCCTCCATCCACAGTAGCCCCTCCATGGCCTCCATCCACAGTAGTCCCTCCGTGGCCTCCATCCACAGCAGCCCCTCCATGGCCTCCATCCACAGTAACCCCTCCATGGCCTCCATCCACAGCAGCCCCTCCATGGCCTCCATCCACTGTAGTCCCTCCGTGGCCTCCATCCACAGCAGCCCCTCTATGGCCTCCAGCCACGGACCCCTCCGTGGCCTCCATCCACAGCAGCCCCTCTATGGCCTCCATCCACGGGTCCCTCCATGGCCTCCATCCACAGCAGCCCCCCTATGGCCTCCATCCACGGGCCCCTCCGTGGCCTCCATCCACAGCAGTCCCTCCATGGCCTCCATCCACAGCAGCCCCTCCATGGCCTCCATCCACAATAGTCCCTCCATGGCCTCCATCCACGGGCCCCTCCGTGGCCTCCATCCACAGTAGCCCCTCCATGGCCTCCATCCACGGGCCCCTCTGTGGCCTCCATCCACAGTAGCCCCTCCATAGCCTCCATCCACAGTAGCCCCTCCGTGGCCTCCATCCACAGTAGCCCCTCCATGGCCTCCATCCACAGTGGTCCCTCCGTGGCCTCCATCCACAGCAGCCCCTCCATGGCCTCCATCCACAGTAACCCCTCCATGGCCTCCATCCACAGCAGCCCCTCCATGGCCTCCATCCACAGTAGTCCCTCCGTGGCCTCCATCCACAGCAGCCCCTCTATGGCCTCCAGCCACGGACCCCTCCGTGGCCTCCATCCACAGCAGCCCCTCTATGGCCTCCATCCACGGGCCCCTCCATGGCCTCCATCCACAGCAGCCCCTCTATGGCCTCCATCCACGGGCCCCTCCGTGGCCTCCATCCACAGCAGTCCCTCCATGGCCTCCATCCACAGCAGCCCCTCCATGGCCTCCATCCACAGTAGTCCCTCCATGGCCTCCATCCACAGTAGTCCCTCCATGGCCCTCTATACACAGTAGTCCCTCCATGGCCTCCATCCACAGGCCCCTCCGTGGCCTCCATCCACAGCAGCCCCTCTATGGCCTCCATCCACGGGCCCCTCCGTGGCCTCCATCCACAGTAGTCCCTCCATGGCCTCCATCCACAGTAGTCCCTCCATGGCCTCCATCCACAGTAGTCCCTCCATGGCCTCCATCCACAGTAGTCCCTCCATGGCCTCCATCCACAGTAGTCCCTCCATGGCCTCCATCCACAGTAGTCCCTCCATGGCCTCCATCCACAGTAGCCCCTCCATAGCCTCCATCCACAGTAGTCCCTCCATGGCCTCCCTCCACAGCAGCCCCTCTGTGGCCTCCATCCACATCAGATCCTCTGTGGCCTCCATCCACAGCAGCCCATCCATGGCCTCCATCCACAACAGCCCCA